GATGAGACCTTCGAGGAGGGACCGATGCGTATCATGGACAGCCAGTTTTGCGTGGCAAAACTGTGAGGCTGATAAAAGTGCTGTGGCAGCACCGTGGGGTGGAGGAGGCGACATGAGATCATGAGGACACTATCCGAGCTACCTATCCATTTCTGTTCGAGGATGGAGGTACATCTCCTATAGTGATAGAGTATTAAATGATTTTTTGAATGTGCATGTTGTTATATGTGCATGTGGGTATAATTTTGGGGACGAAATTTCCTTAAGGGGGAGAGAATGTAAAACCCAGAAAAAAAAATTATTATTATTATTATTATTAAAAATCTTAATTAAAAGGGTAAAATAATAATTAATTGTAAATATAAGGATCAAAATATAAATTTCTAAAATATATATATATATATATATATATATATATATATATATATATATATATATATATATATATATATATGGAAGACTTTAGTCTTCCACTTTTTCTTCCTCCAGCTGGCTGCCGAGTGAGTGAGAGAGAGAAAAGAGTTTTTTTTTTCTTTATTTTCCTCTTTTCTTCTTCTTCAAATCTACAAAGATTGGACCGTTTAATCGTTTCGGGCCAATAATTAAAGTTGCTCTATTCAGCGAGAGCTACGCAGTCACATCAAATATCGTATTTTTCTCTGAAAGAATATCAAAGACGACAATCTAGGCCTAAAGTTTGGGAAGTTAAATTGGGTTTTCTCGAAATTCCAGTATGTGGGCTCATGCTACGAGAGGTAGAGTTTTCCCTATTTATATTTACTTTCAACCTAAAATATGACATATGAAATGGGTAGACTATGTGTGTGTATCACATGTTAGGTCTTGATTAGTGTAACTAGTGGGTCAAATATATGATTTATAATTAACTTTATAATTAAAAAAATCCTATTATGATTAACTTGGTGTAAGTTAATGTTAGTGATTTAAAGCATGTTAATTATACATTAGCATTATTTTATGTTTTAAATGGCATATCAAGTTTAATGAAATTATTAGCTTTTTATGTGATTATGGAATAATATGTATGTTAAATGATTATTTATCATACAATTATTGTGGTGGACTTGTGCTTATGTTTATAGAATTGATAAACATGTTGCCATGTTGAAAATGTCATTATATTGTATTCTTTATATAATAGACATTGTAAATGGTACCAAAGGCAATTGCACATTGAAATGCCATTATGCATGCGTTACATTACATTTATGGGTATTGACATGGGTGAGAATGTGTGCATGAGATAAAATCAATCACCACATAGGTATGACATTGAATGTACATAACTCCAATGACGGGGGCTTGGAATGCTTGGATACATACACATGACATTACATGTGTTGTAGGAGCTCAGGATGGGGTTCGGTGTTGGTACTGTTTTCGTGAGTCTCATCTCATGGCATGACATGATTTATGACATTTGTTCATAATAGACATATTTGAATGATTGCATGAAATGATTGTTGTATGTGACCTTTATTATGCATTTAGGTTGAGAGATATTCTATATAGGAGTTACCCTATTGAGCATTGACTCACCCTTTATAAGAACATTTTTTAGGTATTGCACAGGCGTCCACCGAAGGCGAGACCATGGGCCCACTTTGACAACAAAGCCGGTCTGTGACTCTTCTTTTGACATCGTAGTCTCTTGTTTATAATTACTTTTGGCCTTGTGTAATTTTTGTAACAAAAACTTGTTTATGTATAAGGAACTCTGTTGAGACATTAATTTTTTTATGAATAAATGTACATAATGATGATGATTATGGTAGTATTCGATACTATACAATTGTGAATGAATGGATAGACCCAGTGTGGTCAATATTGTACATGTTGCATTTTGGGTAGAGCTCCTCATACAAAAGAGACTCTACCCAAATTTTGTTAAGTTATGGATCTCGGTAAATGAGACATAACGACGTGGTATCGAATTACATGGTATCCACGGATATTTCGCGGGTTGATAGATAATCAATCAGGTAATTACAGACACAAGGATTTTGGGGTGTCACAGTAACACTTGCGAAAATAATTAATTTTTTTTTGCCATGATTGTAACCATGATCTCGTCCTTGACCACAAAAAAATGTGACATTCGCGTCTGGGAAGGCTTGGTGGCTAGTTGAACGAGCCTCATGGTTCCTCATTAGTAATTCGTTATTGTCGTCGACAAGTAAGAGACATGTTATGAGGTTACTATATGTGTTGAACCCATTATATCGATATTGTTGTTGTATTATAATATTTGATGCATAAAATGTGGAGTATATTTTCTCTAGTTTGTCAACATCAGTGACAAGCTATTCACACATCTAAATTTAGATATAATTTAATGAATTTTTGAATTATATTCTCGTACAGTTTCATAGTCCTAAAACCGTAGGTTGAACCACTTGTGCAAAACTTTTGGAAGAATGATAATTTTTTGGTGATTAAATCTATCTATTAGGTTTTGCTAAAGGACTAAAGGATCTTTTACGATTAGGTATTCATTTCTCAACCCAGCGTGAATATAATGGTGAAGAAAAAGCGGTGCTTTCATCTTCCTAAATTTCAGTGTTTTCAGTTTGAATAGTATCTCAACCAATGAAAAGTTCGACATCAAGTGCCCATAATAGGTAGTTGGAGTTAGAAATATCTAAACCAGGGAACCCTAGTTTTGCAAGATTGGCCATATCTCAAAGCTATGTATAACAAATAAAATAATCAAATTAGATAAAAAAAAAAATACAATCAACAAATCCTTGTCATTAGTAATGGCTGATCACACGTAGACCAAAATATTTAATTTCGCGTGTGAATTTGAATATATCATAAAAATATTTGTCTCTTTGATTATATATATATATATATACAAATTATAGAAAATAAAAATTTCTTCTACAGCTTCTGATATAAATTTCTCTCAGACTATTCATGGTTATCTCTTTTGTATTCTAATTTTCTATGAAGTGATAATTTTATTCTTTCTTTATATAATCATATATCACTATGATCATAATTTCTACAAATTTATTTGATGTAATCTTATCGAAAAAGTGTTTGTAGCTTAATTTTATTTGTGTTTCCAGCAAGTTACTAGTACTTGTTAAGTTGTATTATTAATAAAAAAATCTTATGTATTTATATTGTTTTGCCATTAAAAGAATCTATTTATAAATCTATCAGAAAATTTCGGGTGAAAATATAATTTTTAAAAGTAAAGAGACCTAACCATTACTCATTAAAAGATAAGGAGTTAAAATATAAATTATTATATTAAGCTCACAATAGCCTTTTAACTCTACGAGGGATCGATTTGACTTCAACATAAATTTTTTTATTATTATTATAACTACTATATAGTAGATTCGAACTGATAACCTCCACTCACTCAAGTTAGAATTAACTATCTCGAATAAACTTTCAAGTCTATCGAAAAAATATACAAATATGCATGAATATAATGAGAAAATGCTGCAGACATTAATTGATATCTTAAATGCCGCTGACACAATCTTATGCAAACTTCATATCTGTAATTTATATATAATTTATAAACTCCAAGTTTATAATTTATATTCTCAATTCTACCATAATGAAATTATTTGTACTCTAAGTACTAGATTTTTTTTTTTTTTTTTCTGTTCTTTAGGAACATAATTTATTTTAAATCTTTATATACTTCAGGTATACAATTTATATGCTTTAGACACGTGCTTCAAGTACTAATTCAAATGTAATAACAACTTAAAAATAGGACAACAAATATCAACCTATGTTGTTCTCATAACATATATGGTATTAACAAACTATTTAGATGAAAACACCCACTTTGAAAAGCAAATAAAAAGAATACTGAAAGGGAGAGATGAAGATATATATTTCATTTAGTATACTCTGATTCAATAATTTGAGGTCTTTTTATAGGCAAATTTCAACCTTAAAAAAATGTCACTCTATTTAACCTTTTTAAAAAGGACGTGAATTTGAAAATTACTTTCAAACCAACCTTTAATCGAGACCTTTTTTTTTTAAAACCCCCATGGGATGGGTCAAAAGCTCGTGCAAGTAGTTTGGGTTGTTGAGTATTGACTATCAATGGAATTGGTGGTTGAATGTCAATTGATTGACAAATGGTTTTACAACTATAGTTTTGCAAATGGAGAAACTGTTTTTGTATATACTGATGTGATTTTAGATCTTTATTGAGTATTTTTTTCAATGGCTACAACCACATAACTGTATGCATATTCATTCCTCCGGAGCTGCTATCCATGAACCAAATTCTTTTTACATTCAAACAAACAAAGTCTTATGGTTGTCCAATAGGGCATCTTTATTGGGGAGTACAAATGCATCCCACAAATTAAACTATACAAATCAGAGCACTTATGTTGCCTTCAAAAGCAATGCCCCACAGATGGGTATATTGTCCACACTTGAATCTAATGCCAGAGACGCAATTCAAGTAGGAATCTCTTATTTTTGACAGTACGAGTAGACTCAAGACAACATTAAACCATTTCTTCATGGTAGTATTTCGTAGCAAATACTGATGCATTCTGATGATGCTGGTAGATCAACTCTTGGCAGCCCAAAATAAATTGATACCGAAGAGGAGGAGGGACAGTGAAAATACCATTTAACTGCTCAACACGTTGGAAACTTTTAGGCGTAGGTGTATATTTTCTCCATTAACACAAACTCAAAAATTAAACGACTAATTATCACGAATATGATCGGGGTAGATACAAATAATTTGTTTTACTGGCATTTGGAAAAAATATGAGTACCAGTCCTGTGGTATCTCATACATGGTTTACATGAATATTACAGAATAGGCCCGAATATGAAATGATAAAATCCAAACATACCACGACACTACTAGATTACACCCTTACTTCTGAGTACCAATGCAAACAAATCTTTTGACTGGTAACAATAGAACAATGCTCTCATATCTTTTTGGGCCTTGTGGTTTTCCTCTGTAGATGTCAACCAAGGAAAACACTTCTAATGAGTTGTAGCTCCCTGGAGACTTTACTCATATTCATTCGTCCTGTTGGTGATTCTGCTGTGCATGCCAATCCAATTTGAAGGGCCGAAATGATGCCCTTTACCATCTTATTGCTCCCTCGGCGACAACTTATAAAATTTTTGTTGTCTTTTTGTTGTTCTATTTCATTATGGTTGTCGTTGTCATCATCATCCTCCTCTTCTTTTCCTGGTGCTGCAATTGATTCCTCATCTCTTTCTATCTCTCCTTTTGCAAGAAGTACTGGGTCTACAATCTGCAGGACTTGTTTTGGCAGTGCCCTCTTCACATAATTATGGAGATTTAAATCATCTTTGAACATATCATCAGTTGGTCTCCTCCCTGTGAACATTTCAAGCAAGAGGACCCCATAGCTATATACATCTCCATGCGTTGATGTGTCACCACCCATTCCATACTCTGCAATTCACATCATTTATATATTTTTCTCGTAATTAAATTATCTTTTGCATACATTTGAAGCAGATTGAATGACTTTGGCAGATTGCAAATGTTTATCAGACTTTGGGAAGTGAATGGGACAGATGTGTATGTTTATAAGAAGTTACTAATCTAATTTAAGGGATTATTATCATTTTAGAATCTATAATATAAAACAGGTTAGACTTCAATAAGTCTATCCGACGTTCTCAAATAGACTCATTCAACGGCCACTAATATCCCTGTCAAAACTATTTACATTGCACCGTGTTTTTAGGTAAAGGTTACCCTTAATAAATGAAAATCACCTCAAATAGTCACAATTGAATTTTGGAGATGATTCTTTTTAAATATTTTCAGATACTAAACATATTGCACTATTTGTGGACTACTTCGCTGCTATGGTGAAATATAAGGTTTCTTTAGTTTTATGCATTAACATTTTCGAAAGAAGGGAGAGTTCGCAGCAGTTAATATTCTGTTTATTTTACAGTTTCTGGAAGATAATTCATCTTAAAATTGTTTTCTTGAGATCATAATTTATGCGACAGATTTAGTCTACAGTCAATTTCTATTGAAGTCGAATAGTCAAACGAGATGAATGAACGATTGGACCTCCAAAAAGGCAAATAGTAGATGTAAAATAACCCAAAAGCAGAATCACATGAAATTCCCATGGTTAATTGGAAATGTCAGGACTTTTACTATCCATCGCTCTTCAGATTTTAGTCAAATTCCCTTGTTTAGGATTTCAAATTTACAATTTTATCGTTTTTTGGAAAGTTTTTGTTTTAGTAATGAGTTTCGTTGTAGAAGTCAGAACCAATTATTTTGCTTGATTCTAGGCTGCAATGTTAGTATCTTCCAAGTTCATATGTGTGTTTTCCATACTTGAATATTATTAAATGAGATACAGGTTAGCTAAATGAAACATATCGATGATCTAAATCAAGCACAAAGTATGACAAAATCATACCTGGTGCTGCATAGCCAATAGATCCCTTTACTCCAATCGAGCTATTTTGCTGCTGTAAAATATCATTGGTCTTTCCTGAATGGAGCCTTGCTAATCCGAAATCACCGACATGAGCAGTCAGGTCATTGTCTAGAAGAATGTTGCTTGGCTTCAAATCACAATGAATAACTGGTGTTTCACAATGGTTGTGGAGATAATGCAACGCAGAAGACACATCAATTGCAATATTTAGCCTCTGGAGAAGATTCAGAGTCCTCAATGTATTCACTTCAACTATTTCTGGATGCAACCACGAATCTAGACTCCCATTTTCCATAAATTCGTAAACTAGTGCTTTAAATTCATTACCTTTGGAATCAATGCTGGAACAGTAACTCAAGATCTTAACTAGATTCCGATGTCGTATGTTCCTTAAGGCTCTGCACTCGGCTGCGAAGCTCTTTGAAGCTCCACTCTTCTCAAGTTCAAGTACCTTTACTGCTACTAACCTTTCCTTCCCCTGCTGCAGGCTTCCCTTGTAGACTGACCCAAAACTTCCTGACCCAATCAGATTTCCTGAAGAGAATCCTGCAGTTGCTTGGTATAGGTCATAGTAAGAAATCCTTAAAAGCCCGTCAACTCTTGAACTTGTGGAAAACGAGTCACTTGTTCTTTCTTTTCTCCAAAAGCATAGGGCTCCAAAGGACATCATTAGCATTGAAAACAGAACTACACTGCCGACTATGATCCCTATCTTGAATGCTTTAGGTCTTCCATGCTTCTTTACATTGGTAGGACATGGCGGTAGGTTCAGTTCAAGGATACCTCCACAAAGTTTGGTATTCCCAACCACTGATATTGCGCTTGCGTTTTTGAAAACTCCTTTGGTCGGTACCTCGCCCTCAAGTTCATTGAAAGAGAGGTTAAGATATTGCAAAAAGCGAAGGCTCCCCAGGTCTTTGGGAATTTCTCCGGACAAGTTATTTCCTGAAAGGTCTAGATGTTGAATACCTTTCAAAGAAGCCAAAGTTAAGGGAATGGTGCCCTCAAAAAGGTTTCCTTGCATATTTAAGTATTCCAAGCTCGAACAATCTCCAATTGTTCCTGGAATTTCTCCAGACAATTTGTTATTCGAGATGTCCAATGTATTTATATTTCTCAGCTTACCTACTTCCTGCGGTAGAGAACCATTCAATGAATTTTGTGATAAGTTCAGGTGTTTCGAAAGGGAGGAGAAACTCATAACATCTTTGGGTATGATGCCAGTAAGGCGATTTTGTGACAGTTCCAGCATTTGCAAATTTTGACAGTTCCCAATACTCGAAGGTATATTGCCTTCTAATCTGTTGATAGCTAAAAAGAGGGAGTACATTTGAGAGAGGTTGCCCAGGGAGGGTGGGATCTGTCCTGATAATCTGTTTCCATATAGTAGCAATTGTTGCAACCTTTGTAATTTCCCCAAATTACTTGGGATGGTACCTGTGAAAAGGTTGTTCTCCATTCCTAACGTGTACAGGTTGGCAAGTCTTTCGAGTCCTGGGGGGATAATTCCAGATATCTGATTCCTTCCTAGCCCTAGCACTGTGAGTTGATGAGAGAAATTGCCTATGGAGTTGGGTAATTCTCCTCCAAAGTTATTTCCATCAAGGTCTAGCCTTTGTAAATTGCTGCAGTTTGTCAATGATGTAATAAAGCTCAAGTCTTGACTTGTATTAGTACCCAGAAGATTAATTCCAACATTTAGAATCCGAAGATTTTTGAGATCTCCTAGATTATTTGGAACTGATCTCCTAGATTATAGCCCTAGCACTGTGAGTTGATGAGAGAAATTGCCTATGGAGTTGGGTAATTCTCCTCCAAAGTTATTTCCATCAAGGTCTAGCCTTTGTAAATTGCTGCAGTTTGTCAATGATGTAATAAAGCTCAAGTCTTGACTTGTATTAGTACCCAGAAGATTAATTCCAACATTTAGAATCCGAAGATTTTTGAGATCTCCTAGATTATTTGGAACTGGTCCCTTGACGTTGTTTTCAGGAAGATCAAGTACTTGAAGTTCGGAAACATTGGTGATTGAATATGGGATTGTTCCAGAGAATTGGTTTGCGCCAATACTAAGTAGTTGCAGTCTGGGTAGAGTGAGACCTATGTTAGCCGGAAGACTCCCTTTCAGCAGATTATCTCCGACGCTGAAGGAAGTGATAGTTGAGATATTGTAAAGAGTTTGAGGGACCATACCTGAAAAATGATTGACTCCAATACTTAAGTAAGTCAATCTTTTGAGTTGGCCAAGCTGAATTGGTAGACTTCCCTCCAGATTATTGAATGTTACAGTAATTTGTTCCAGGGATGAAAGGTTCCCAACAGAATGCGGAATTGATCCTGTCAAATTGTTCGCTCTAAGAAAAAGTGTCACGAGCTTGTTCAGAGAGCCCATCTCCGGGGGAATTTTTCCGACGAGATTATTAGTTGCTAACTCAATGATTCTGAGCTCTGAGCAGCGGCTCAGGTTAACTGGAATCGCTCCGCCAATTGCATTGTTTGTCAGGTTTAGATGTCTCAGGCGGAACAAGCGACCAACTTCTTGGGGAATTTCACCATTGAAACTGTTGTTTCTGAGATCAATGAACCTTAGGAAGGTCAAATTCCCTATATGGGGAGATATGGATCCAACCAAGCCATGTCCGCGTAGATTCAAGGCTGTGACTCTTTGATGTCGGTAGCTACATGTAACACCTTGCCATTGACAGTGTGGCAGGGAATCATTCCATGAGTTCAGTGTTCCGTCGCGATAATTGACCACTTGATGCTTGAATTCGAGCAGGGCCAGTCGATCGGTTTCATTTCCCAGATGAGTGGCAGTTGAAACATGTTGCAGAAATAGCAAGTTCATTGAAAATAAAAGCAACGATGAACAAAAAGCATTTGAAATGTTGTTTTGAGGCTCCATATTGGGTTTTAAGCAGATCATTTGGGGAGGAATTGTTCACTGCACGGAAGAGGAAGATGCAGTATATAGTTGGTGTTTGAAGAAGAAATGGCATAGATGGGAATGCAATTACTGTTGGCATTGACCTTTGCCTATATCTCTTGATCTATGATGTTTGCTTAAGGTGAACATCAATCACCTCCTGTGGCCCAAAGGTGGTTTTCACATATAGCCACTTAGGGGGGAATTTCTTTCCTTCCACATCATCAATTCCGTTAATTTGGACAGTTACTCATTGATCATAAAACAATTTGTATTTTAAATAGTAATTACATAATTTAAAATTAAAGTGAGCAGAGAGAAAAAGAGAGAGATATAAGAGAGAGAAAAAGAGAGATATATGTGGATTAGTTTTAAATTGGGGGTTTGGGGGTGATGTGCAAATGGGTCTAACCATAGTGGGGTAAAATGAAATTTGTCCTCATTTTCATTTCGAAAAAACAGTAGTATTTCATTAAGTTTCAAAACATACCCGAACGGAAACGATCTACAAACATAAATATGACTCTTTCAAAAGTTTCAAAACATACCCAAACGAGAAATAATGTACAAACATAAATATGACTCTTTCAAATTGCGAGAGTTGTAAGAATAAAATTATGTACATGTGATCTTATAAATCTTGTCGTTACGATGATTTTTTACTTTTTTTTAACTCTGGGAGACTAAGCACCCAATAGAAACAAAAGAGTCCCACAATGACCTCAACTCAATCCCCAACAGATTAATCTTGTAGCACATAGGTCAACACCACTGTGTAACAAAAAAACAAAAATTAAACCATAAGAGTGGAGACTTTTGTGTGGCTGTTTGAAAATCTATTGTGGAAGAACAAAAAAGTCTACACAACACATTAAATAGTTCCATCACAAACCCTAAGTTTGGCCCCATGTCCAGAATCTCTTGACTATGCCTCACAGGCTGTAATGTCTCTCACATTCACACCCAACCAGCTACGATTGATGCAAACAAATTCATTACGTGGGATTGAATTTTATTTTTGTTTCGACAAATTCCTACTTTGTTTATATCTTCCTTTTTTTTTTTTTTTTGGTTGTACATAACGCAAAATGTTTTTAACTATGTGTTCTTGGGACTTATAGTTTTAACAATCCTTGAATGCATACAACTGTCTGCTAGTCATGAATATCACTTAAATTCATATTTTATGTGGTTAAAGGAACTCAGACTCAGAATGGAACAACACAAAACATTTTCGAGTTCGTTTGTCCTTGTAATTTTATGTTGATGTAGGGCAATGTTTCACGGATTCACTTTAATACATTTTCTTTCAATTTTCTTATTGACAGATCACCTATCATAATATACAAATGAGACCCATAATAAACAAGTGAGTCCTTTACTCATTAGTGATAAATGATCCATCAAGCAAGAAATTAAAAGAAAAATATATTGGAGGGGATCTAGATCCATTCTTACACCCTAGTTGAAGCCAGAGCTGCTCCATTCTTTTAGGATAAATTATATTTTACCTCCTTAAACTATTATATTTATTTCACTTTACACTCTTAATTATAAATTTTTTTACATTGCACCCTAAAATATCAATTTATTTTATATCACTCCAATAGTTGAGGGTGCAAAGTAAAACAAAGATAATAGTTTAAAAGATAAAATATAATTTACTCATTTTTTAACTTTTTACTTTAAATAATGAAACTGTACAGCTTTTACTCCCACAGAGAGCGCAAAACTAAGATGTATTCGAAAAACAAAAAATAGGGTGATTTCGATTGCATCCAGTATATATTTCACTGAATTTTTTCTTAATGGTAAATTACTCATAATTAATTCAAACTTGACCCATGAATATAAATGGATCTCCCATCAATACATAATAGGTGTTCTAGGATTAAGAGAAATTGAATGAAATTGTGTACTAGAAGGGACCTAGATCAAACTAAAGAGTATACATCATTGCTTGGATTATGTTCGACCATCGTTGGATTAATTTTCTGGGGAAAATCAAAGCAAAATGGTACACAGTAATTTGTTTAGGGTTATACATTGCTAACATACATTTAGCTCAATATGCTAGCTCTATTTTTGAATCTATGCACCACTGTTGAATTTGTTTTTTTTATACTTTGTGACAGTTATGACTCGTCGTTTAAGTCTAGTAAGAAAGAAAATGATAAGGAAGAAGAAATTGAATGCACTATTTGTGTGGAGGACCAAATATCATACATTTAGGCTAAAAAACTTGTAGTCACATTACAATTATTCCACCAATACGAATCACTCTCTTTTGTTTGTTATTTTTATTTTGACTAAAAACCCGTAAATTGTACTTCTGTCATATGTAACTTGAATTATGATGGTTACAACGCTTTCGCTATGGCAGACCTACGAGATGATTTTGGTTGAATGTTGATACCTGATTCATCGTCCACATTTCTTACATTCACAGTAGAAATAAATTTTCGTACATCATCTCTGTCGATATCAAATCAAATCCATGACATGGAAGAACTGAAAAGTCCGAAACACATCAAATCATGCCAAGACAAACCCTAATATCTGAAAGACTTTTTCAGTAGGTGCGAGAGCCCTCTTGGTCCAAACATGACGTTTTCAATGAAGTGTTCTGTTGACAGCTTTGGCCAGGTTGACAATATTGTAGTACAATAATCGTAGTCATGTGTGTGTTTATTAGTGTGCTTTACTGTGTGTACTCCTCTTTTCAATCCGTTATAATACTCCCACGATCCACTCAACACGTCTATTTGGAATTTAGAAAAATAAAAAAAACATTAATTAATTTATTTGGGTAATGCTCCACCCATATCTGGTGGACGAACTGAGAGTTTCATAACTTTCTGCAAAATGTGCTTTCATGCACACTGAACATTCGACTTTAGTGAATGCACATTTCTTTTTCTTACATTAAAAGTTCAAAACCTTAAATTTAGAGCATGATGTGGATGAAGCAATTATGAATATCATATTGACATAATCTTTAACATGCATGACGAGCATGGAAGGATCACTGAATCTTACGGTTGGATTCACAAAATATGATAAACTATTAAAGGGATGTTTGGTTCGGGTATAACATAAAATGAAATTGCGTGATTGTCAAGAGTACTAATAGGTTGAGATAAAATGTGTGTCCATTATAATGGAATTGGAGATTAATATGCAGTACTAAATTGAAAAAGACAAAAGCACTCTTGCGACAAATGTAATCCAAAACTAGATTATGGTAATCTAGTCATTTTTTTTTATCTTAATACCAATCAAGAATGGTTTTAGACCACCTATTACACGAGGATTAGTAAATTTGGTCAAAATAGTAAAACGAATAGATAAATGGAAGGAAAATTGATGATATATTTAATTTAAGTTGACTGGTGAGTTGACAAAAAATGAACTAGAAGGATATCATGGTTTAAGTTGACTGGTTTGCATACCTTCTTTTCATATTGTGAGAACTACTTATACCTTTCATGGAAGTTTTCACTATTAGCAGGTGGGTCCCTCTAGGGAGAGCCCTCCATTGGCCCATTTGGGAGACAACAGGTAGGGGTGAACAGTCCTTGGGCAAAACGTCTCCTGTCTCATGCGGGAAGTCAATTAGCATTAAATGGTCGACGCCCAAGCACTTAATGCCCTTTCCCCAAGACTATTTGGATGATAAACACGTCCAATTTCTCCTAAAGGATCTTTGAATGCTCATCTGTGATGGCTGCACGGCAGCGGGGGCATTCTTGTCTATTGGCCCCCAGCTCTGTACTTTGCACCACGTGTTCAACTCCTTTTGGTTGTAGGTTTTACCTTTTCTGTCATCTTGACTATTTTGGAAAAACAAGTTTAATGATTTATTAACTAATTTTGACTTTGACAGGCTATAACCGACAATAATCTGTCTGCTGACCGAGATGAGGTGTCTAAAGGCAGACCTTAGGATCTGATCATGCCGAGGACACGAGTCAAAATCCTAGTGTTTCGAGAGCTCATATGCTAAAGACACGTGTCAGGCGCATATAGACAGAAGATGTCGGTGCAAAGGACACATGTCCTCCTATTAGTGCTGGAGTGTCATCGGCACTGAAGACACATATTTTCATCAGAATGCTAGAGGTGTTTTCCATGCTGAGGACACGTGGCTTTATTTAAATCTTGAAAATGTCCTTGGTGCCGAGGATTAGTGGCTTCATTTGAATGCTAGAAGTGTCCTTGGCGTCAAAGACACTTAATTTCATCTGAATGTTGGAGGTGTTCTCGGAGCTGAAGACATGTGTCTACTCCATGTTCTTTATTAGAAGTGTCGCATCAAATGTCTTATTGACATAATGTTTAACATGCATGATGAGCATGGAAGGATCACTGAATCTGACCATTGGATTCACAAAATATGATAAACTATTAAAGGGGTGTTTGGTTCGGGTGTAACATAAAACAAAATTGTGTGATTATCTGAAGTAATAATAGGTTATATCATTTTTTTTTGTTTGCAGCTTATCTACTCCATGTTTGATTCAAGGTTGAGATAAAATGTGGGTCCATTATCATGAAATTGAAGATTAATATGTAGTACTAAATTGAAAAAACACGAAAGCACCCTTGTGACAAATGTCATCCAAAACTAGATCATGGTAATCTGGTCATTTTTTTATCTTAATACCAATCAAGAATGGTTTTAGACCACCTATTACATGAAAATTAGTTTGTACTGTGTAAGTAGTGTTTTTTTTATACTGTCGCATCAAGTTGCTATTTGCTCATATTGTGAGATTGGACCGTACGACATGGCCCAAATATGGTAGTAAATTACGATCAAACCAATTTAATCGATTTATACCCCTAATGCCTGAATTATATATGTTTTAACATTTACGGAATATGAACGACTACATTGAAAGTTAAGAATGGTTGAGGACGGTATTCTAAATCTTAGTTATAGTAAATGGTAATTTTACTTTTCAAACAAAATTTAT